GTGTATTTGGTGTCCAGACACATTGTCAGCTGGTGTTGCTGGCAAGTTTTCATGGAGAAAAATGTATTTCAGAAAGATTCCATGTACAGCATCATATATATATATATATATATATTTTATGACTTGAAAGTTCTGTTAGAGGTTGCCAGCCGAAGTATCAGGGTGCTGCGCCCATATTCCCCGGTTTAGAAAAAACCCTGCTAGGTGAAGTTGAATCAGATTTATTTATAAAGGTTGTATAATGCATGTGTATCATATGCTGACCTGTTTATGTTGAGTTTTTTTACTGGTTCAAAACTGGATCAAGAATAACAAAATTCACAGTGGTTAGTGTGTTGAGGCTGGTAGTGAGTTTATTCAGCAGTAGTCTGCCCTGCTATTCCAATACATATAGTATTCGGTAAAACTGGTTCACACTTGCAATTATAAGTAGCACCCAAAAAATGTGGAGACAAAGCATTGACTCAATTACTGTAAAATGTCACCTTGCACAAAAATTATTTATAGCAATACCAAATATAAAAAAAACTCCACCTGATGCAAAACAAAAATCTCTACTGTGAGGGCGCTGTTGCTTGAGTGCACTTACTTTGGATTGCCCTCATATTATTTGTGAAAGGATTTCTTAATGAATGAATTTGTTTTCTCTTGTAGTTGCAGAGTCTGCTTCTTCACATACGTAATTACCACGAAGGTCAAAGGCCATATGCCTGCAGTCACGAGGGTTGTACAAAGACATTCCAACATAAAATCTCAATGGTTAAGCATCAGATAGTCCATGATCCAACAAGACCGCCAAAAGAGGCAAGTGAATAAATTATGGAAAATATTAGCTTAGTTAAAAATTACAGTATTTATTTATTCGGTAATTTGATATGCATTTCACACTGACCATAGTGCTGATATTGGAAGGACAGTGGTCGTTGTGAAGTATACACTCAATTATATCCTGCACACCAACTTGTTTAATTATAGTTTTCCACATTTCATGCTGAAATTCAACTGTATCCTTTTTTGACTAAAAAACTGTATAAATATATATGATTCAGGATTTGCTAAAATGAACCTTGTAGTTTGTTATACATGTATATACAAATGCAAATATAAATTGATCTCGTTTGCATATCAATTGTAGACAATACTAATGTTATTCAACAGCAAATGACTGTACTATCTGTGTTAATATATGTCTAACTTAGAACAAAAAATGGATTTTATTCATTTGTAAAATGCTGTCGGAATGTGTTAAGGATGCGTTTGAATGTATTCCATATTTGGACGTGCATCACGTTTAGATTACATTCAAACGCTGTTTACATGTGACACAGAAACAATGTAGTGTGTGACATTGTATTAAAAAGTCAATCTTCGTAAATGAATATAATTTCTATGTCCATGAAACTGAAGTGATGGACTGTTGAACTATTGGAGATGTAACACTGCTAGCTGTTCATTTGTAAATTTTGATTTGTATATGTATTTGTATTGTGTTATTATCAGTTTGCTTGTATACAATGTCAAACTGTATTGTATTAATTTTTCATCTTTCCTCTGACACATGTTTATAAGTGTGGGGACAAAATGTATGCTATAAGAACTTATATATATTTATTATTTCAAATTTACAGAAACCAAAAAGAAAACCAAGAAAATCCAGAAAACTTTCATTAGCTGCCAAACTAAGTGGATACAGACCCACCGTTGTGAAAACATCTGTGTTTTCTGCCATTAATGGCAAAGAAAAAACTATTCCCAACATAGAGGGGGAATGTGTTCCAATGGAGGGGCTGGATTCTGGCATTCCTGGAGGTGTGAAAACTGAATGTGAAACTTGTGATGATATACATGTGCAGATCTCACAATCTAATGAATCTGGAAACAATCAAGTTAAAACTGATAATAATGACAATGCTTTGACTACATCGACACAGATGGTTCAGATTCAAAACTGTGTACTTGCAGAGGACAATCACAGAAGGATTTGAATATGTGTTCATTTAGTAACAGTTGAAAGCTGGAACAGGTCACAATTTATTTGTACTAAATAATAATATTCTGTTTTCAGTGTTCCTTGTACCATTTTCTGAAATCTGTAATCTTTCTTTAAGCTGCAGTAAATGTACAATCATTGTTACATTGACAAGAAATTTGGTCCATTTTAGTACGTTGCTTCGGTGTAACACCCCAACACATGGTCAGACCCATGTAAATATCCCATGCCATAGCCTACTTTGACTTATTGATATCAAGGAATGGCGTTCACATGCACCAGTGTTCTAATACATATCTCATGGCAGTGAATGTTTTCTTTTTACCGTTGTATTGGCAATGCTCTACCAACTGAATCTCAATATCATGGTTCAAACTCCAGCTTGACTAACTTTTCAGCATTTGAGGAAGAAATTCTACATGTGGATTACGTATTCATATGTATTAAAAGTGTAAGTTCCCATGCCCTATAGAGTGGTATAAGTTGTGTTGATGCTTTCGTCATGATTGAAGTACTTGTGCTTCTTTTCCATCAGTTTTGGATCTCTCTTTAAAAGTATTTTGTAAACGATTGTATTTTGTATGTATGAAGCAACCTGTTTTGTTGTAATTAACAAAACACTGTCCCCTGCATGCATTAAGTTGTCCATTGACTCTCAGGTTGACTAATTTATATTTATATAATAAATATGTTATATGAACCTTGTTTTTATGGGTGATACTTAGTTTGTCTGGTCCGTGTGCACTTTAAGATATGAAGACCAGGTCTTCATCTGTATGTACATGAATTCCTGAACTGGAGATTGAGTATTCTCTAGCTGATATTAAACTAAAATGTTCATAAATGCTTTCTGTCCACCAGATGTGAGACTAGAATACTTGTCATTGGATCAAGTTGACTCCTAACAGTTGGAAAAGAAGTGAATAAACCATGCTCAGAACGATAAATATGATGTATAGTAGAAAATATTTCTTAATTGTCTGTCGCATACGACTTATTTACCACTTCCGTGTCACTGAGAATGTTCTAGAACCGTACTGTGTCTGGGTGGAATATTCTAGATTTTTTTTAGAAACTGGTTGAATAGGTAATGGAACACTGTAGGAGGCAATAGGTAATGGAACATTCTAGAAATTTGTAGCAAGTTCCAGACTCGTTATGTATGCTGATGTAATGGTCTATTTATAGACAGTGGGGGTATATATGGGGGAGTTGTTCAGCACTGAGTTCAGATCGGAGATCTCGTTGAATTGTATTGGAGTTTAAGTATCTTGTCATTGGAGTAGTGGAGTTTTACCGCGTTATTGTACTTGATGTTTGCAGAGTATAATAATACCAGTACCAGTTGAAACCTCATCTGTTGGCTTCATGTTCGTATGTTATCATCACCGCCAGGGAAGTCTTTCTGTTACTGTTGCCATTTTGGTATTTGAACCATCACACCTGTACTATACCAATTACGGTAATATTACGTTGCGTGTGACATTGTCCTAAGTGACTATTTAAAAAAGTTGGATGTTTCAAGTTTTGGCTCTTTATCGATGGCATGGAAAAGAAATGTACAAGTAGAACATAACATGCACCACTATAACATGGACTCGCTAATTTGCATTGTTTGAGGTTACAACCAGAAAGGTGAAATCTGTGTGAACTTGTGACCATATGTTCACAACACTTGTCATACTATAACACTGGTATGTCTGAGGTGCATATAATTGCATTGTGGTTAGACCAAAAGATGGATACTGGTATGCAAGTAAACAATCGCACACTTGATTGTTGGTGTGGCACTCTGGGTCGGTGTAGGTTTTCTGTAAGGCGAGTCTACCCAACGAAGCAAATCTATCTGCTCCTTGTAGTTATTGAATGAAAGGACAAACAAATGATCTCAATTCTCTTCTGTAATAATGTTTATGACATGGTTGGAGAACACTGGTGTCTACTATGTGGTGACACACAAAAAATGTATTAATCGCTTTACATGTGTTTCAGCATCTGTTATAGATAGGCAATTGAAATAGAGACGTGCATGTTGATATTGTGATGGTTTATTACATTTCACTCCGTTTTTTTTCTATTATTTAAACTGAACATATCTGGATATACACAATAATGTTACGTTACACTTTTTATGTAAATTTGTCCATTACGTTCATATGCCGGGAATGAATTGATTGTAATCTTGACTTATTGATTTCAATAAAATGCATAATCCAAATACGATTCTCTGTTGGAATCCTGGCTTTGATGGCCTGTTATTATATAAAACAATTGTCATGGGAATGTATGAATTTAGGGCTTGATGTGAACAGGAAAACAGTTTTTTTTTTGTCAGATTTCTGTAACTGTTCTAGCCATGCACCTTGGTTCACTGCTAAATGGTAACATCGAGGTGAACTCCTGATCAAACGAACCTCGAGGTCGACTGAAATCTGTTGAAAAATTCTCAAATCCTTGTCCATATGTGAAAGAAGTAGATACTATTCTGTCGTCAGGGTATTGACCGTCTTTTTTATCATGCGCACACTGACCGGTATTCGGTGGTACTTGCAGTGTCACTGGTTGACTCTGGTAGCTGTGACTGTTAGCCATTTTGTGAGTTGGACTTGAACGCCCACTGCTCACAGAATTCCTTCTTGAATGGTTGTATTTAGAAGAGATAGTATCGAGTTCGTGATATTCGCTAATGCCTATCTGATCACCTGACAAACTACCACGACGGCTGATGGAACAACCATTAAATTCCCCGGGGTGCAAACCACCGCCACTGGTAGCATCCGAGCTTCGTGCCGAGCTGCGATGTGCAAGACTCCTTCGACGATAGTCGATGATAGATGCACGGCGTTTGGTTTGTCTCCAAGAATGTCGACACGAGAGGGCGATGATAATCCCAATGATAACCATAGTTGTTCCTGCCAATGAGCTGAATAATACACCAGCGTAGATGTCCATCAGGGGAGGTGTGTAACTCACCTCAGCTGTAGCAGTATAAAACATATATTCACAGTTAATGAGATACAGGTACATGACAGTTGGCCATGTTCAGTTTAGCAGCCAGAATAGTACCAGACAGGCAGATCATTTCTGAGTCAGGTTAAACATGAGTAACATGTTTTAGTGATCCTGGTAATTATTTCGAAAAATTACACACTGTCATAAGAAATGTAAATAACTGCCAATGGCCAATGAGAACAATTTGTTCACAGAAAGTTGTATTGTCATGTGTGGGAATTGTACTGATGGGACACCATACTCCGGATTGCCTTCACCTCGCTCAACGTCTCATAGAACAATTGCAAACCACTTATAATTAACTCAATATCATAAGTATGAACAGCATTTCTGAGTTCAAGGTTTGGCGATTTTTTTTTTTTTTGCCAGAAAAGATAATTGTTATGACCGAACTATGTATGAACAATAAGGGAAAATTACATCCTTATTAATACAATGATTTGTATTTTCAGCAACATAGAGATGGTCTGCGAAATGCCTGGCAGTGGTTATAGTGGGTACAGTATTTTATATATTCTATCAGTAGATAACAAAAAGTCTACTCACGGCAATTTTTCTCGTCCCAGGCATAGTGATAGCAATTTGGTCTGTTATTACAAACTAATGAACTGTCAATACACATCTCTTGACCACAGGCAAAATACGTCCCGTTACATGGGTCTGTGTGAACAAGGCAAGATTGTAGATTATGTGCCCGAAAGAGTCGCCATGGTAGCAATAATAAGGACTTAAAGGGAGATGGTCGTCGCATAGCGCGTGTTAGAATTTCATGCAAACATTGTATTTTACAGGCGTTGTGTACGTCGCTATGAATCCCATTATCGAACAGGACACAGCGCGACGACCACCGCCCTTTAACATTAAGCACAATCGAACCACGTCCATAATACGAAGAGTCCAGGAGCTGCATGCAATGATTAAGCAATAACCCCCACCGAAGGCGGGTATACCATGAGATATTGCACAATTCACGACATGATGAGTGCATATATGGAGTGAATTGTGTAATATCAAGTGGTATACCCAACTTCGGCGGGGGGTTATTGCTATTATATTATACCAGTATATTGACAATTCGATAAAACTAGTAAAAACAGAGTTTACTTTCACCCAACAACGACCGACGCTCACAACTTGGATCCCACCATTAACAAAAAGCAATATTATGGTTGTATAACTTTTCAGATGTTTTTAATTCAGTATTTTTTTCGATATTCTTCCAAAATTCAACCACTATATTTCCCTAAAAATCAAATAATACCGGTTTGATGTATTTCCGTATTAAACCTGTAGTCAATTCATGTTCCAGGGCCACTTGGTTTAGCCGTGCATTATC